TATCGAAGTCGTATCATGTAGGATCTACTTTACATTAATTGTTACGAGAACTCTACTAAATACGCATTGTGGCCCCGCCCGACTTTTAACCTTTTTTTACTGGTTTAGTTTAACCTTTTTAAATTTGAGTGATCAATTTGATGCCTTTACACTCCATTTTAATCTATCGAATAAAAATATGAATTCTGTTTTTTTTTTTCACCTACACATTTTGGTTAACGAGGTACATACACATTTAACAACTCTCTGTTCATTAAATAATTATCGAATATTTTTTGTTGTATGTTTTCCAACATTAATTAATTTCCTCTCAAAATTATACAGGATAACCACCGACTAATGACGCCTTTTGTTTGCGGTAATTATGTGGCACTCGGCTTTTTAATTGTCATCACAATCATATACTTTGTTGAGGATATGGTGGAAGCAACACTGAATACTTTGATTACGGATTTGCTAACCAATATTAGTTGGTTCGGTAAGTAATACGGAACAAATTTAAGCCCATTAACAACTAAAGTGTTTTTATTTTCTCTTTTTTCAGGATTAACTTTACTAGTTTTCTTCCCCGTCCACAGACTCTATCACAAAATGCGTCACTATCCAGACCATATGGGACCCTATACCTATCAGACCACCGTTATTACAAATGGCATTTATCATGCTAGACCTTAAGTTTCAAATGCGGTCAACTCGATTTTGATAAACGTTTTTTTAGTTTTTAAGAAAATCGTTACGTGATTTGACAATAATTCTTGTTTAAAACAATATTGTTTTTACAATGTATATATACCAATGCAATTAATATTATTTTTGTTAAGAGAAATTGTTGAGAAAATTTAATAAAAACATGTTGAAAATGTAAAAAAAGTTGAATAGATATTGAAAAAGGAAGTATTTTTGTTTGAAAGATTTTAAAGTAGTTTACTCCTCTATGAAATACTTTATTGAGTAGTCGCGAACTTACCAAGCTGTATTCAGGAGAATAGGCTTACTTGATGAAAATTTTAATAATCCTTTAGTTGTTATCAGATATATCTCGGAAAATACTTTACACGTAAAATTCAATTATTCAAAGGAATCTGAATCCGAAAATTAAACAAGTTAAAAACAATAAGTTCGGCCGGGCCGAACTTTTAAACCTCCACCATTTGCAATGAATTTGAAAATTTTCAAAAAATAAAATCCTTAAAAAAATTCTGTTAAACTTTTAAAAATACCGAATATAGCCGTTATATTGGGATCTATACGACATGGACATACATAGGCATTGTTTGTCAAAAGCCATTACCATATTCAAATTCGAAACTTGAAGTAAACGGTGAATAATGTAGCAAAAATAATCAAAATATCGTACATATGGAGGTGCCGTTAAATTGGAGCTGTGCGAAGACCTGGCCCTGCATATACAATGTTGTCACAGGCTGTAGCATCCATTACGAACTTCAAATACCACATCTCAAACAATTTCGGTGGGTACCTAAAATCGTCAAAATACCGAATATAGGGAAGTACTGATATATGGGGCCTATACGAAGACCTGGACCCGAACAGACAATTTTCTGTCACAGACTGTAGTTCCCATAACGAACTTCAAATACCAATTTTGAAACACGCTAAAATCATCAAAATATCGAATATAGGGAGGTACCGTTATATGGGGGCTATACGAAGACGTGGATCTGCACAGACAATTTTCTGTCTTAGGGTGTAGTATTCATTTTGAACTTTAAATACCAATTTTGAAACAATTTCGGAGAATAATGTCGCTAAAATCATCAAAATACCGAATATAGGGAGGTACCGTTATATGGGGGCTATACGAAGACATGGGCTTGTACAGACAATTTTCTATCTTAGACTGTAGTATTCATTACGAACTTCAAATCCCAATTTTGAAACAATTCCGGTGAATAATGTCGCTAAAATCATCAAAATACCGAATATAGGTAGGTACCGTTATATGGGGGCTATACGAAGACATGGACTTGCACAGACAATTTTCTATCTTAGACTGTAGTATTCATTACGAACTTCAAATCCCAATTTTGAAACAATTCCGGTGAATAATGTCGCAAAAATCATCAAAATACCGAATATGGGGAGGTACCGTTATATGGGGGCTATACGAAGTCGTGGACCTGCACAGACAATTTTCTGTCTTAGGGTTTAGTATCCATTTTGAACTTTAAATACCAAAATTGAAACAATTCCCGTGAATAATGTCGCTAAAATCATCAAAATACCGAATATGGGGAGGTACCGTTATATGGGGGCTATACGAAGACATGGACTTGCACAGACAATTTTCTATCTTAGGGTGTAGTATCCATTTGGAACTTCAAATACCAAATTTTAAATTACTTCCGGAAAAAAGGTCGCCAAAATCATCAAAATACCGAATATCGGGAGGTACCGTTATATGAGGGCTATACGAAGACATGGTCTTGCACAGACAATTTCCTATCTTAGGATGTAGTATCCATTTGGAACTTTAAATACCAATTTTGAAACAATTCCGGTGAATAACGTCGCTAAAATCATCTAAATACCGAATATAGGGAGGTACCGTTATATGGGGGCTATACGAAGACGTGGACCTGCACAGATAATTTTCTGTCCTAGTGTGTAGTATCCATTTTGAACTTTATACCCGGAAAAAGGTCTCTAAAATCATCAAAATACCGAATATCGGGAGGTACCGTTATATGGGGGCACAGACAAATTTCTATCTTAGGCTGTTGTATCCATTTGGAACTTCAAATACCAAATTTGAAACAATTCCGGTGAATAATGTCGCTAAAATCATCAAAGTACCGACTATTTTCTGTCACAGGCTGTAGTACCTACCAGATACTTCAAATATGAAGTTTAAAAAAATTTCGGCGAAAATTGTACCTAAAATCATCAAAATATCGAATATTGGGAGGTACCGTTAGGTATGGGGGCTATACTAGGACTGACCCTGCACAGACAATTTTCTCTCATAGGCTGTAGTAGCCATTACGAATTCTATATACGAAAATTGAAACAGCTCCGAATAATATCCCTAAAATCATCAAAATACCGAATATCAGGGGTGCGGGTATACGATATCTATATATATATGAACACTTCACTTCCACAGGTTAAAGTACTCCGAAGGAACTCCTTGTGTTAATTTTAAGACAATTCCATTGATAAATATGGATAAAATCATCAAGATACCGAATATCGTGGCATACGGTCTTTGAACTTGACCTGCCTGCAGACAAAAGACTGATCTGTGCAAAATTTTAGCTTCCTATCTTTTATTCATTTTGACTCTAGCGTGATTACAACAGATGAGTAGACGGACGGACAGGGCTGAATTAATATTCCCTCCATACTACGTATTGTGGTGGGTATACAAAAGAAGACACGTGTATCGGCGTTTTGAAAGTTTAGATCGCAAGGAATCAAAATAAAGGGTACAAATTCCCCCCGCACCCACACTTTTGGGCTTATGTCTTCGGCAATATTATAGATACAATTACGATCAATATTTTGTTCGGAAATTTTAACTCTCAGGCGAGTCAATCAAAAGTGTATTTTTGGTCCTTTTTTAAAATGCGGTTAAAAAAACTCTTTAAGCAGGATCGTAGAAGGTCAAAAATTGTGCTTTATGTGTAAATAGCGTCTCTACATAACAAGGACTAAAAAATGGAAAACATGATCCAAACATAAAAAAATACTTGAAATCGGAGTTATCCTTAAATTGGAAATACTTGTCTTCTCGATTTTAGTTACTTTGCGATGTTAGCTTCCATAACGCCGTTGTGGTTCCTAATTTTAGTTCAACACTATTGAGCTTTTCCTGTTATTGTATGGGTATCTCAGAACTAGTATATACTATAAAAAGACATTTTTTTGAAAGTCTATAGCAAAAAAAGACTTCAGAATACCAATAGAATACATTGTTTAAGGTTCTAGGTAATTCTCTTTGTGGTGGTCCGTTTTTTTTTATTAGATTATTAACCAGAAATTTCTATCGGAAATAAACAAATTTGTTTTTAATCAATTGTTGTCCTTATGACCTTTGACGAATTGAATTGTTTCAAAGTCATTAAGGACACACAATTAGAATAGTTACTATGCACATTATTTGTACAAAGAATTCCTCAAAAAAAACCCCACACTTATTTGTAGAAATATGAATAAAGTGGTGAGAACATAAAACATTTGTACATTTTCTATTTGTCAATGTCCTTTCGTGATGTCACAACATACATACCCACCACCACCAATGGAAAAAATGACACAAAGACTGGTCAACCACTTGTGGATTTAAACAAAAGCATAAAATAGAACAAATATTTTCTTTGGATTAACAACAAAAACAATTGTTAGAGAGAAGAAGAAGAAGAGAGAAAACAACAACTACGGACAACCTAAAAGTCAAAGTAACAAAAAATGGTCCTTTAGAATTCCAGTTATTTGGCGTCATAGATTTGTTTGGCTGTCGGGACTGTTTGTCCAACAAACCAACAATGGGGGAGTTTGGTTTTGAAATGAAACTAAGAATAACAACAACAACATCGACGAAAAAGGATATAAATATAAAATGTGTTATTTTAGCTGGAGAAGAGTGCGTACGTGCGCACGTGTGTGTGTGTGCGTGCGGGAGAGTGTGTGTAGGTCAGGATTCTTTGGAGTGTCAATATCTCTATGGGAGAAATGAAAAAGAGGTCAAAAAGCTTCTTCGCTTTTCGATTGGCTAAATTTTTACTTTGGTTGGTGGTTCAGGTTCAGGGGGCTTATTCCACTGATAACATTCTTCTTAGTTAGCATTTTCCATTCGACCGATTGGCGCCATTGATTTATGTACGCGTCGCTGCTTTCGCTGTCTGTTTCTTTATTTTTTGAAAATTTCGTGATTTGAAACGAAGGAATTTTATTTTTCGGAATGCCAGGAATTGTGTTGCTCGCTGTGGCTGATGTAATTCCCGTTTTGGGGAATACCATCGACATTTAGTTGTCAAAAGGACGTGGAACGCGGTGGTTAAACGAATTCCAACAAAAAAAGTAATACATATTTGAATATTGAAAAATAAAACAAGAACTAGTCTAGCTTCCCAACAGGTATAGCTTTTGAGTGATTGGATAAAATTAATATTTATTTGAAAAATTAAATTAAAAACAAAATTATATAAAATTGAAATATGAGAGCATTATAAAGAACCCTTTTGAGGAAATTTTATATAAGTGAGTACTTTCAATGAGGAGTGGGAAATTGTGAAGTCAATATCATTAGAACTGCATGTGTTTTTTATTAGAAATCGGATAATAAGCCTTAAAAAAATATTTAACAACGTATCGGGCCCGATGAGAAATCAATATTCGATAGTGAAAAAATATTAAAATGTATTGCAACGAATTAAATTACTGTTTTAGGAAATAAGTAGTTAGTTCGCCTGAATGCCCTCCACCATTTGGAAAAAAAAAATAAATAAATAAATAAATATTTAAATATAAATATATTTTGACTTCTGTTATGATTATTCAAATTACTGACCCTCTATGGAGTAGATTCCGAAGGAATGGACTAATAATGTCCATTTCGTATCGGACCAAAATAAATATGATATAAATATTTCGACGTGCTAGGTTTGGAATATGTGTAATGTAGTCGACCGAAGTATTCCATGTTCATACCTCAGTATTATATTAGTATTTAAGTATTGAAAATTGTACCCCTTTGTGGGCGAGGTATCAAAAGGGAATCGCAGATATATATCATCTTCACAACAGATCTTGTGATTGCAAAAATGTTTGTCTTGAACCCTATGTGGGGATGTACCAGAAGAAATGATCAGATCTCTACCATCTTTATAACATATTTTGTGCTGATGGAAATATATTGTACCAAGTCTGAATGGAATCGGATCTTAATATCGCGTTTTAAGAGCATTTTGGATATTTAAAATTTTGACCTTTTGTGGTGGCGTACCGGAAGGAGTGGACATAGACATACGAACTTCAAATCAGATTTAGTGCTAGTAGAAATAATAGGATTTGTGAACTACAAAGAGAATTGGATGCAAATTTCAGATTTTATAATTGTTCTGTTTATTCAAAACTTTGGCCATTTGTCGTGGAGGTACCAGAAGGAATGGTCCGATCGCTACCATCTTTATAACAGAACTTGTGTTGATCGAAATATTGATATGTGCCAAGTCTAAATGAAATGGGATATTAATTTGGCATTTTATGAGCTTCATGGGTATTCCAAATTTCGACCCTTTGTGGGGGAGGTACCCGAAGGAGTTAACCGATATATTCTATAGTCACACCAGAACTTGGGTTATTAAAATTATTGTGATGTGTCTAATTTGAAGACAATCGGTCTCTAACATTACATTTTATAAGAGTTATAATTATTCAAAATTTTGATTCTTCTGGGGGAGGTACTTGTTGAAGTGGACCGATATTGTCTATTTTCGCACCCGAATTAGCACTAACGCAAATATTTATACTTGCAAAGATGGAGCAAAATCGGATTATGTTTTCACTTTCTATGCAGAAAATTTTTTTTGAAAATTTCAAACCTTTGTGGGGAAGGTACCAGAAGGTGTGAGCCGAAATCAGTCTGTTACATCGCATTTTATAAGAGTTATAATTATTTAAAATTTTGACCCTTTGTGGGGGAGGTACTTGATGGAGTAGACCGATATTGTCCATTTTTTGCACCTGTCCTGGCACTGATAGAAATATCAGGTTTTGCAAAGTTGGAGTAATATCGGACCATCCTTTCTCTTTCTGTGCAATAGAATATTTTCTTTGAAAACTTCAACATTTTGTGAGGGAGTTACCAGAAAGAGTGGACCGATATCAGTCACATGTTGTGGTACCTATTACGAGATGCAAATACAAGATTTAAAACAATTTCGGTGAAAAATGTCGCTAAAATGATGAAAATACCGAATATATGGATATACCGATATATGGGTGCTATACGAATACCTGAACCTGAATAGACAATTTTCTGTCATAGACTGTAGTGCCCATTAAGAACTTCAAATACGAATTTTGAAACAATTCCGGTGAATAGTTCGCTGAAATCATCAAGACGTCGGACTTATATAGCCCATTTTCAATACCAAAAGTTCTGCAGACGAAACACGTTTGAATAAAATTTTATTAACCATCTTCAATTCGTTTGGAAGCTAGTTATTTCCACAGATGAACGGTCGTCGTTATATCGACATAGAATTTTATGCTTATCATAGAATTTATGTTTATATACTTTGTGCGGTCTAAGTATATATACTTTGTGGGGTATAATCGGCTAAAGCTAGAATCAATCAATTCTGTAAGAGAGTCAACATTGGGCGCAGGCGTGTGATAAATTTGGACTAAAAGAATAAAATAAATAACAACTATGCTTAAAATTGAGAACTTTGTATTGGATAAACGGAATAAGGTAGAATTTTGAAATTTGGAATGAGAGTCACTGAGGGAGTACAGATTAGGGTTTTTAGCTTACGAAAAGTTCTAAAATGTTAAAGATGTTATGTGAACGGATAGAGCTAAAAACTTGAAATTTAGTGTGAAAATCAATGTTTGGAAGCATGTTTGATATATGAAGATGGTTTTGGAAATGTGTACTAAGTGTGCAAACTGTACTAAAAAGTAAAAAATTCAAAACAATTTGGCTTATTGTGAATCGTAGAAGCTAGAATTTTGAAATTTTGTATTGGGGTTCCAGTTGGGTGCACGTTTGTGAGTTGGCTTTGGAAATGTGTACTGCAAGTGCACGAAAAGTACTAAATAGTACTATATTTGGTACTATTCGGTATTGGGTGAACAGGTAGTCCTTGAAATTTGAAAAATTTTTTTTATTTTTTATTATTTGGGGTTGGTTTCGGAAATTTGTACTATAATTGTACGAAAAGTACCATATTTGGTATTAGGTGAAGGGATAGCGCTAGGATCCCGAAATTTGATATGGATCTCACTGTTTATGTCTGTGGTTGAGAGAAGAAGCTGGTTTTGGATATGCGTACTATAATTGTATTAAATTTGGTAATGAGGATGCTGAAATCCTAAAATTTGATATTAAGATCACTGCTGGTATCAGAGGTTGAAATACAAAGATTATTTCTAAAATTGTTCGAAAAGTACAAAATCCTACTACATTTGGTATTGGGTGTAGGTATGGAGCTGAAATTCTAAAATTTGATATGGATATCACTGTTGGTGTATGTTGTTGAGAAATGAAAGAAATTGTACTAAATTTGGTGAAAAATAAAATTTAGGTGAAATCACAAAACTGAAATCCTGAAATTGGAAATTTAAGGTTACTCTTGGTTAGTTAATATATGGAGATTATTTTAAACATGTGTAATTTGACTGTACGAAAAGAACGAAAATAAAATGTGCGGTTGGGTGTTAAAATAGAGATGAAATTCTGAAATTTGGTATCGAGGTCACTGTTGTTGTATAGTATGGTGAGAAGGAGGGGGTTTTGGACATGCGCAGTATTACTGTACGAAATGTATGGTAGTCAATTTGGGATTGGGTCTCAGGATATAGCTGGAATTTTGAAATTTGATATCGTGGCCATTGTTGGTATATACTTTTGATAGAAGGAGGTGGATTCGGCAAATATTGCAAAATAAACTCGGGGTAAAGCCATTGAAATTCCAAAAAGTACAAGAACTTACACCGCAACAGAAAAATAATAGACTCAAAAGAGCTAAAGAGTTTCTGCGCTTAGCCGAATTTGGTTTTCTACGATGTCCAATAGTTTGTAAACAAACAAAATTATCGTGTTTACTTGTCAAAGAGGTCAGCTGGAAATGTGCACCTTCGGTTGACCACCAGAACTCAAGCGCTGGCCATGGTGATAGTGGGGGCCGCCATAACAGCCGATTGTCGCTCTCAGCTCGTATTAATCCACCGTGGCGTCAGAACAAATGTCGAATATTATCGCGAAAATATTCTTGCGAAAATAGCCTTGGGCACGCATACATTTTGGCCGCAGACCTTGGACATTCCAACAGCACTCAGCACCATCGCACTCAGCACGCGCCACCCAAGATTGGTTACAAAATGAGGTTCCTCGTTTCATTTCCAGCGCACAATGGCCACCAAAATTTCCGGATACCAATCCGTTGGACCATTGTGTCTGGAGTATTTTAGATCACCTCAAGCAAGCGCTTCGCCGGGAATGGACCAAAATACCGCAGAGCAATATTCGGGCAGCGTGTGACGTTTCATTGGCCGTTTGAAGGCCATAATTCGTGCCAAAGGTGACCAATTCGAACAAATCTGAACTTATTCTAAAATTTTATGCTATTTCTGACACTTTTATATCCTCCACCTTAGTATGGAGGGTATATTAAGTTTGTCATTCCGTTTGTAAATATACATTTTAAACCTCACAAAGTATATAGGGTAAGTGTACCAGTAGTCGGCACTTTTAGGATTTTCGCGTTCAATTATTCCAAAGTTAATTTATTCAGATTCGGAATTTTGTATAGTTTTTGCAATAATAAATAATAATAATAATAATAAATAATAATATAATAAATAAAGTTTTAATAACTTTTTATTAAATTTCATAAATTTGTAGATTTATTAAAACAATGCTTTTTTGCCAGTAGTCAGCACCACTTGCCAATTGTCGGTATGGCATATTCCAACAGTCGGCATACCAATTTTTTTTTGTAAGAATAATTAATAATAATAATAAATTAATTCATTAAAATATGATATTTTTGTTTAGATAAACTGATTCGACGTCTTTATTGTACTTTTCTTAAGAATATGGATTGTTGAGGACCTTCACAGACAAAAATTTTATTTTTATTAGAATAAATCATCTTTTCTTAGCGAAATTGTACACAGAGATAGCTGACAATATATTTGAAGTAAACAAAATACATTTAGTTATAATAGTTTCATTTATTTGGGCTTAAAAATAAAAAGTGCCGACTACTGGGACATGCCGAACTTAGGCACACTTACCCTATATTCTTGATCAGCATAAAATTCTATGTCGATTTAGCGATCAATCAAAAATCAATTTCGGAACAGTTGGTCACGAACACAACACAATTCGAAATTCCGAAATTGTAATTCCAACGGACATCACATATGTAGTCGTCATTTGTATTTATGCCCTTGGGTCAAAGTATGAGGAGGCACACAACTCCCAATATAAGAAAATATTATAAAGACAAGGTGCGGTTATAAAACTTTCCGAATCACAATATCCTGCTACGCCCTTCTATAGCCCCTATTTATTAATATTGTTTACGTCCATTATCTGATATTGTTTTATTTAATGTTCGTTCTATTTCAGAATTTAAACCATGACTGCGGTGAAAATGAGAAGAACGATTGCCAGCTGGATTAATTTGATTATAGGATGGTTTCACTTTTTGTTTTCGATTGCGCTGTCCATGGGTCTGCTGTACTATTTGATATTCTATTATGAGAGACCACATGATAATCGTATGTTGTAATATTCCAAAAAAAAAGATATATAATTCAAATATAAATCTCACTTACCTCCTTCAGCAAAAATTGCCGCATTTGGACTACCGGTGCTTTTGGCTATATTTTTATTCAGTTTCTCCAGTTTTATCTTTGATATACTTCTGATAGCTGGTATTCTTGCTGTAAGTAGACATTACCAAAATTTATAAATGTTGTGAAATTGATTTCTATTTTCAGAGACGAGTTAATTTAATATCCGCCTTTGTTATTGGCAACTATATGGTCTTGGGTTTCCTGATGTCTTGCGCTGTGTTCTTCTTTGCCGAGGATTATGTACACAAGGATACAACAGTGGGAAATTTAATAAATCCTCTAATGCATGGCTTGACATTGGGTAATTAATGCTATATTCTTTAATTATAGCTCTGTGTTTTAAGAAAATATTGTGCATTTTCTCTCAACTCCATTACAGTTACCATGATTTATTTATTCTACCCCGTCTATCTGTTGGTCCAACAGACACGCCTACCACCCTCCAATGATCATGAAATTTTGGATGAGACTGATGTTTTAGCCCGACCTGATACATCTTCGAAAACTACGAAACCTGTTAAACACACCAAACCCTCTAAGCCTGCCCGAACGAATGGTAATGCTGAGCCAGTCAATTGTTAGAATTTGAAAATTTAAATTTCAAATCAAAAATTGTTAAAACGAACCAACCAACGAATAGTTTTTTTTTTATTAACTTTTGTGAAACGAATGCTTTTATTGTTATTGTTAGGGCTGCAAATAAGCCAAAAACTACGACCAAAACAATTATTTATATATAAATATTAAACACAAAAAAAAACAAAACAAACATATTTTTGAAGAAAATTTATTAAATAAATGTAATTGTTGACAAAATTTTGAAATACCATATACATATGTTAATGTTTTATTTAATGTTGGAAAATTGAAATCATGGTAGAATCGAGTAGGTAAAGTTATGCAATCATATGTTTATATATTTTTTTCCAAAATTATTCATTTGACAACATCTTATTGTCAAAATTTGTAAAGGGTGTTTTTTTTTAAGCCTGATATAACTTGAAATTGTAAAAAATTACACAAAAAATTAAATTTTATTCAATTGTTTTTTTTTTTTGTATTCAATACGTGACATTAACATTTGAAAATGATTTCGGGCATATGGGCACCGCGGCTATTCTTGACGAAGTGCATTCTGGATGTCCAATTTTTGGCCACTTTATCGAGCACTGCTGGCCGTATGTCACGAATAACACGAACAATGTTGGCCTCCAAGTCGTCAATTGTTGCTGGTTTATCAGCATAAACCAATGACATCACGTAGCCACACAGGAAATAATCCACTTCTCGAAATCAACTTATCGCCCCGCATGACACGTAGCGTCATCCTGTTGAAACCACATCTCCTCCGGATCAATGTTATCCATATTTGTAAACAAAAAATCATTGATCATAGTGCGGTAATGATCTCCATTGACCATAACGCGAGCTCCGGCCTCAATTTTGAAGAAATAAGGACCGATGATGCCACCAGCGTGAAAACCGCACCATGCGGTGATTTTTTCTGGTTGTAATGGAGTCTGTAGGGTCTCTTGTGGATTGGTCTCACTCCATATGCGGCAATTTAGCTTATTAACAAACCCGTTAAGCCAAAAATACGCCTCATCGCTGAACACAATTTTGCGATAAAACAACGGGTCATTTGCCAACTGCTCTAGAGCCTGATTTTCAAAGTAAATTTGGATAATTTCGTAGCGTTGTTAAAGCGTGAGTCTATTGATGATGATTTGTCAGAGTATACTTAAACAAATAAAAAAAAGTTTCATCAAAGTTTAAGTTTTTGTGATACTTTTTACAATTTAATGTTCTATCTAGCTTAAAAAAAACCCTTTATTTTTTAATCCATTGTACATGTAAATGGGAACCTGTTTTTATGTAGTGAAATGTGAGGTGGTATGATTATTTTAAATGTCTTTACCTTCTTAATTTTACCACGATTGAAATGTTAAAATCAAGATCTTAACAAAACCAAAAGCATTTACATTGTGAGATAAAAACAAGTAAGCAAAGGCTACAGTCGAGCGGGGCCGACCGTTAAATAATAAACAATACAGTTTATATAGGCGAAATACTCGACAGAATTCCACAAGATATTGTGACAAATAATTAAAGAAAACCATCAGGTTTCGTTCTCTAATTTTCGAATAATAGCAACTTAAACTAATTTGCTCATTTCCAATTTATTGGTAAATGTTGCACTTAAATGGTCTTCCTAGATCTGGAACCAATATTTCCCAAAGACCTATAATCTCTCAGAAGTGGCAAAAGATTAACATTTATTATTGGTTTTTGACTGAAACGCATCTATATGAGATACAGACATTTGACTATATTCTTCAAACTCCTTCACACATTGAATATTTTTGGATGGCCATGCAAAACTTCTTGGCATTTGCAATGTGCGGTAACCCCCATTCAAATGAGCGTGAGGATCGGTCGATAATTACGACCTGCCGACAATTTTGCAGTTTTTTGGTCCATTTCAACCCCTAAATATATGGCGATCATCTCCAAAAAGAGTAGGCTTCTTTTCTGACCCTCATCTTATCCCCATGCAAAATTTCGTAAGGATCGGGTCATAAATGAGATCTGTATATGATATCCTGATATCCTAACTACTTAGTTTTGTTAGCTGTAGAAATATTACCAAATGTTTAATTCAAAATGAAAATATGCCAAAAATATGACAAAATTGAAAAAATATGAGAAAATTTTACAAAATCAATATTTTCATCTTTATAGAGATATTTTTATGCGATTTTTTTAGACTTTTTTTCTTTCCTGCCAAGAGGCCATTCTGAATTAATGAGAACTGTCGAAATCAGTTCAGCCGTTCTCGACATATAAGAGATCTTTCAAGCATATCTTCTTTGATAGACATATATATCGCACATATTTTGCTATATATCCGATTTGTTGGATAATAACATCAATGTAAAGATCAGAAGTAACCTTGTGATGGCTTTATGATTTCGCCGGAATTTAAAATATTCACGGTTTAATGAATAATTTTGATTTTTTTCAACACAAAAGATATGGTATATTTTACCCGCTAAATATTATCCGATGACCACACAAATTAGTAGGCTTCTTCCCCGCCCTAAACTCTAGCTACATGCGAAATTTCGCGTCGATTGGTCTATAATTGAGACCTGTATAGCTACTGCAAAATCCGACATTTTTCAGTATTTGGTCCATTTCAACCCCTAAACATTTAGCGATCATCTCCAAAAGCAATAGGGTTCTATTCTGGTCCAAGCCCCACCTACATTCTAAATTTCGTAAAGATCGGGCCATAATTGCGACCTGTAGAGTGATTACAAATTAACATGGACAGACGGACAGACGGACGGACGGACATACATAGCTAATCGACTCAGCTCGGCGAGCTAGGAAGATCCATATATACTTTCCTATATGGGAAACCAATATTTCGAGGTGTTACATAATTGTTGGCCCAATCAAACTTATAATACCCCCAACACATAGTGTTGTAGGGTATAAAAAAAAAATTCAAGGTCAAACGCCATAATTTTTACATTTTTTTAAACTTTTTTTGAATGAAAGCAACAAATTCGGAAATAGCATCAAATTTTAAAATAATTATTAATTTGTTCGATTTGGTCAAATTTGGCACGATTTATGGCCTTCAAGTGGCCAATGAAACCGTCACACGCTGCTCGAATATTGCTCCGCGGTTTTTTGGTCCAATCCCGGCGAAGCGCATGCTTGAGGTGATCCACAGTTTTGTATTTTTTTAGTGCCAACCTTGCTTTCCAAAATACTCCAGACCCAATAGTCCAACGGATTAGTATCCGGAGTTTTTATTGGCCATTGTGCGCTGGAATGAAGGAACCTCATTTTGTAACCATTCTAGGGTGGCGCGTGCTGAGTGCGATAGTGCTGAGTCCTGTTGGAATGTCCAAGGTCTGCGGCCAAAATGTTTGCGTGCTCAAGGCTTTAATTCACCCTCCAGAATATTTTCGCCATAATATTCGGCATTTATTCCGATGCCACGGTCGATTAATACGAGCGGAGAGCGACCATTGGCTGCTATGGCGGCCCACACCATCACCATAGCCAGAGTTCCGGTGGCCAACCGAAGGTGCACATTTTCAGCTGACCTCATTGGCAAGTAAATACGATAATTTTGTTTGTTTACAAACTGCTGGACAACGAATGTTTTCTCATCGGAGAAAACTAAATTCTTCAGTTCACCACTTTCGGCCAAGCGAAGCAAATCTTTAGCTCATTCGAGTCTATTTTCTTTCTGTTGCGGTGTAAGTTCTTGCACCTTTTGGAATTTCAATGGCTTCACCCTGAGCTTATTTTTCAATATTTGCCGAATGGAATAATGCGAGAATTCTTCGTCACCGCGACGCGGGTTTCGATCAAGTCGCTTCTTTATTTTTCGAACCATTTCTGCTAATGTTGCTGTTTTTTCCGTCCACTTCTTTGACGTCGGGCTGAGCTACCAGTATCATGGCAACAAGCGATAGTACGAGATCCAAAAGACTAAAAGACTATACAGAAATCACACTATCACGAATAACTTCTTTTCTGGAAAATTCTCACCAAAATGATTTTGTACGCTTGAAAACAATATAATCAGCTGTCACTGGAAAAATTTTAACAGTGGCTTAGATATGACAGCATTCTGGAGTTGGTTGCAGTTTTTTCTCACCCTGTCTAACAATAATTCTCAAAATCCCCAAAAATTGACTTTATTGAGATTTTATCAGGGAGACAGACTTGCGATAGATGCTAAACCGTCACATTTTATGGTAATCTAAAATACTCAATGCAATCTGAATGATAAGGTTAACAAACCCTAAACTTAATGGTGATAGAGAATAAATAACTATGGCTCTATTTGGTCACAAACACATAAAAACATCAAACATAAGATCTCTGTACCTCTGTGGTGTTGTGTTGGCAAAACAACTAAAAACCCAACATTAAAACATTTACTATTGCTAAACATTCCTATTTCATTGAAAAGTTAGTCTTTCGACTTTCCATAAAAGTTCTCATAATTAATAATAATATAATTTATGCTAAATGAGGAAAACGCTCGTATCTATAGCGCTTGTGGTTCCCAATGCCACACGCATTTTCAATGTCATTGCGTTTGAAAATTTCAAACAAATAATGAAACTAAAACTATTAAAGTAACTTGATACGAAAGTTGAATTGCGTTCTAGGACATAGCAAACCACAACAACAATTATAAATTATTCCGCTCTTCGCTCCGTTCTGTATGAAGTCATGTCGTTTTGTTAAAATTTATTAGTCTACATTCATACTCACACGCATAACCGAGAGTAAAAGTCCTTTGAAAATGAAACCAAACAAAAAAATATATTGTAACGATGTCACAGATTCGGAAGATGACTCCGTTTGTTTTTGTGTATTCCAATAGCTGGCGCCAAAGGATTATTTGATTGTCTGCTGCTCTCTGAACTTGTTGTGCAGACACAGACGATAGCATCCTTTCATTGCGGCATAGAAGAAAAAACTATTTCAGTCTTGACCAGAAGCGGCTGGTGTTAACAGTTTACGAGTTGAAAATATTTTGTAAAGAAATAAAATTTAAAAATGTGTTGCCCAAATATGAGAACGCTTAGCCTTATTGTTGGCTGGATACATTTAATATTGGCTGTTATTTTAGCCATTTCCACGTTGATATATTTGTGCACCTATAACAATCAAACCTATGAGGATACCATTATCGAAGGTAAGTCTCGTGGAATTTAATATTACATATATTTTGAATATTTCCTTTTGCAGAGAAAATTTCCAATACCGGCCTACCCACGTTGGTATTTCTTTTCTTATTTAGTGTGGCCAGTGTAATATTTGATATAATGCTGCTGAAAGGAATTTCAGAGGTAGTTCGGGACAAATTTATTTATTTTTAAATTGATTAATTTAATTTATTTTATTATTTTCATATACCAGGAACGACACAAGCTGATGTCACCATTTGTTTTTGGCAATTATGTGGCCTTGGGAATCCAAACATGCCTAACAGTTTACAATGTTTTTAAAGACCTCATTGATTCAGCAACGTTTGGGGATTTAATGATTCACTTGATATTGAATTCGGTGACCTTGGGTAAGTAAAACGCAACAGTGTGAAATTATTTTTCTTTTAGTGATATTGAAGATTTGTAGTACAAATTTATAACTCTTAGCAAATATTTATGGGTCAAAATGTACTACAACAAACAAGTTAAACCAGTAGGAAATGTCACTAGTCGGGTGGGCCCACTATATGATATACATATTTAGTAGAGCTCCCGTAACAAAGGAATTTATTTGAAGTAAATTACACCACCTATCATCATATGACTTTAGAGCAGTCATAATTTGTTTTCAGAGGGAACTAATGTTTGGGAGGCATATCCAATTCTGAATCGGTTCTTACTACATTTGACGGAGATATTTTTTTATCCTTTATACTAAATAACATTGCTGTCGAGCATGCATGATATCACTTCGAGAAATATTATATTAAAAAACAAGTAAGCGAAGGATATAGCCGTGCGGGGTCGACCATGTGATACCCTACAACACTATAATTTTTTAGAAGCCCCCTTATATCCAAACCCCTTTTGGAAGATTTCGCTTTTGAAATTATGACGTAGAGCATTGCCCAGATATTACCCTTAGCTTTTTAAACAGGGGCATTTGCCCAATATTTAGGCAACGCGTTGTGTTGTTAGTTGTTGTGGTCCATTTTACAGCTAAGTATAATCCAATGGACACCCAAAATGCTAAACTTCCTCCTGTCCTTAATTTTCTTCGCAGGTAAAATTCCATGTCGGTTTGTTTCAATTGCGTGATCAGGAAAATGTTTAAATTTTTGGTTCATTTGAACCCCTAAATAGTTTGCGATCACCAAAAACAATAGCCATATATTCTGACCATAACCCCAGCTCCATTTTCAATTTCGTGAGGATCGGCCCATAATTGCGACCTGTAGCGTAATTACAAATTAACATTGACAAACAGAGAGACGGACGAACGGATATACATAGTTAGATCGACTCAGCTCGACGAGATAGGAAGATCCATGTATACTTTCCTATGTGGAAAACCAATATTTCGAGGTGTTACATAACTTTTGGCCCAATAAAGCTTATAATACTGTAGTGCTGTAGGGTATAAATATATATTCCACCAAATGAAAACGTACGTCCTGAAATTCAATCCATTTGGGCTGATATTAGCAATGAACCTGGAATAGGATTAAAGATATATATGGGAGCTATATTCCAATCTTAGCAGATTTCGATAAAATTTGGCAAAGGTATTTCCGAGCATTACAAGATATCTGGTACCAAATATCGTTCTTGTGGAGTGCATATTACGAATGTGAGGGATTTATAATAGAGCTATATTCAAATCTGAATAGATCTGGATACAATTTGCCATATATCTGATATCTGGTACCAAATATCATTCTTGTGGGGTACAATATTTGTTTGCCCTAAGGACAAACCCTATTGAAATTGGTGTGAATCGGCTCAAATTTAGATATAGTTCACATATATTTTCAACCGATTTTGGGTTAAATCTGCACCACATTGCTAATATCAATCCGAATGACCTTAATTTTGGCACATTCGACCGAATTCATCGTAGAAACAAATACTTCAAACTTGGCGAAAATCGGTTCAGAAATAGCTATAGCTCTCATATATATGTTTCATTCGATTTTATTCTGCAGTCGCTCACATGCGTAATATGCACTACACAAGAATGATATTTGGTACCAAATATCAGGTACAGCCCAAAAAAGATTTGGATATATTTCTTATATACGATTATCCGATTTCAGGTTTATTGGGCACCAAATGCCTAATGTCAGCCCAAACTTAGTGAAATGTGGCACTTTCGACCAAATTCCTTTTAGTACTTTAAGTTGGTGAAAATCAGTTCAGAATACCTATATCTCTCATATGTATGTTTCATTCGATTTGGTGCTGAAGACGTTTACATGCGTAATATGCAATCCACAACAATGATATTTGATACCGAACATCAGGTACAGCTCGAAAATACCTCTGTGAAATGTTATCAAGATCGGTTCAAATTTGTATTTAGCTTTGATATACATCTTAATCCGATTTTACGGTTACTGTCAACCATGTATGTAATATTAGCTCAAATTGGTGAAACTAAGTCCGGTGTATCTATTGTTCTAATAAATATGTTTTATATAATTCTTATCGAAGCTTTAATAATTTCAATTCAAGATAGAAGGAAAAATAATGAAAAAACAATGAGCTGTTAAAAGCACTTTAGTAATCTGATTTGGTGGGAGACTCTTCTCACCGAATCGACCTTAAAATGCGTTTTCGTAATCAGGACAAAATTCTCCACATGGTACTGGGTTGCTTTTTTTGGTATACCCTGCACCAAATAGTGCTAATGGTATTATGTCTTTGTAACATGGAAAAGGAAGCGAGATAGACCCATAGTTACATTTGAGAATCATCACAGAATCACTTTTTCAGTCAATTTATGTATGTCAGTCCGTCTCTCCGTCCGTCCATGTATTCTTGTGAACAAAATGCAAGTCACATTTATTATCCGATTGAGATGAAATTTTGCAAACAATATTTGAAATTGGATCAGATTAAGATATAACTCCCATATATCTTCAATCGATTTCGGGTTTATTGTGCACCAAATGACCAATATCTGTCAAAAAGTCCTGAACTTTGGTACATCCGACCGAATTCAGTCTAGAAGCAAGTACATCAAATTTGGAGAAAATTTGTTCAGATAAAGCTATAGCTTCCATATAAATGTTTCATACGATTTAGTGTTTGAGTCCCTCACATTGGTAACAAGCATTCGACAACAATGATATTTGGTTTCAGATATCTTATGGAGCTCGGAAATATCTTTGGCAAATTTTATCTAGATCGGCTAAGATTTGGATATAGCTCCCATATAAATCTTTAATCCGATTTCAGGTTTATTGTGCAAATAATGGCTAATATCAGTCCAAATAGAGTGAATTTCGCGATGCGTGTTTCTAATTTGTGCAACTCGGCTATGATATATATTTTTATACCCTCCACCATATCATGGGGGTATATTAAGTTTGTCATTCCGTTTGAAACATCTCGAAATATACATTTTAGACCCCACCAAGTATATATATTCTTGATCAGCACAAAATTCTATGTCGATTTAGCGATGTCCGTCCGTCAGTCGAAATCACTCAAATGTATATTATCTCTGCAGAACTTTTGGTATTGAAAATGGGACATGTAGGTCCCCGTTTTGATATAGCCCCCGTATAACGGTACCACCCAATATTTGGTATTTGGTTGATTTTAGCTACATTATTCACCGGAATTGTTTCAAATTTGGTATTTGAAGCTCGAAAAGGATACTACAGCCTAAGACCGAAAATTGTCGGTACAGGTCCACGTCTTCGTATAGCCCCCCATATAACAGTACCTCCCGATATTCGGTACTTTGTTGATATTAACAATATTATTTACCGGGATTGTTTCAAATTTGGCATTTGAAGTTCGTAATGGATACTGCAGCCTAAGGCAGAAAAAGCATTTGAAGTTCGTAATGGATACTGCAGCCTAAGGCAGAAAATTATCTGTGCAGGTTCATATTTTGGTATAGCCCCCATATAAGAGAATCTCCGTATATTGAAGATTCTACCTACATTATTCACAGCTTTGTTTCCTTATGTTTCGCATTTGAAGATTGTAAAGGCTTATAACAATAGTTGCCTATGCAGGTCCACGTCGTCGTTTAGACCCTAATAGAGTTTTTTACGGATTTTATTATTATTATTATTTATTTTTTTTTTTTTTTTGAAAATTGTCAAATTCTTTTCAAATGGTAGAGGGTATTCAAAGTTCAGCCCAGCCGAACTTACAACTTTTTTTCGTGTTTTAATATAATCCTTCTCCCAGCGATATCATGCAGTCTATAGCAATCTATAACTGCTATAAATCCAAATGTTGATAGGTGTTATGATCTACTTGAAATGAATTGTGTTCTTACGGGAGCTCTACTAAATTTAAGAGAGGTGTAAGGTATCATATAGTCAGCGCCGCCCGACTTTGGACTTTTCCTTACAGTTCTTTCTTTACCTAGTTTACCATACAAACTGATTATTAAGACAATTATGTATAAGGATACATTTTATTATTTTAAATTTCAACTCATTGATAACTCGTCATAGCAATTTTGATCCATATTCTATCGTAATCTTTTTAGGTATTATGATATTTTTCTTCTACCCCATCTACCAAGTCTATCAGCAGATACGCTGGAACAGTGAGAATCCCATGCAGCCACAATATGACAACGCCGAAGCTGGAGTGAAGCCGATCGAGTCGGCAAACAATGGCATTTATGTTAATTAAATATTTAGTTTTTATTAACTTGTTCAAAAATGTTTGTCTACAATTTACTTTTTTTTCTATAAATAATTGTTATTTATTAAAACATATATATCACAAATAGTATTTATATATTATTAAAATTCCAATGAAAACAATTAAATGTACTATATGTTGAGGTCATCTAAGGTTTCTTTGAAATTTTACCAAAAATATATATATTTACATATATGAAATAATACAAAACAAGTAGAAAGTTACCCAAATATTAATTTGATTTTATAAATGTTTAATCCAATATGAGTATATATAAATTTGTTAAATAAAAATATATTGACAATAATTATACACATCACAAAAAGTTGTATTGCCTGTTGCAGAGATTATAATGATTTAAAAAGTTATTTGTATTTAAGTGGTTTTGGAAGAAATCTCAATGAATTAAATATTATTTAAGGACAAGTTTCATTGGTGTTCATAAAAATTTTATTTGATTTGAAGAGCGACTATATAACTAAATTTTGAGATTACACACTTAGTTAAGATTAGCCTCATTTTAATCTATATTTTTAAAATAGTTCTGAAATAACTGACTGACTGATCGAAAATCAAAGCCAAAACCAACGGCTAAACCTAGAATCTTGAAATTATGTCAATGCGTGTGATAAGGCTGGATATGAAAAGTACTAAAAGGATATGAAAAGTACTAAAATGTACTAAAAATTTTATACTTTGTATTGGACAAACCGAATGAGCTGCAATTCTGTAATTTGGAATGGGGGTCACTGATGGAGTGTAGGATAGATGTCCCAAAGAGTTTTTGGAAATTTAAACTATAAGTTACGAAAAGTTCTAAAATGATATTAAACTTTTAAAATGGTACCATTTGGTATTATGTAAACAGATAAAAACTTGGAATTTGGTATGATAATCAAGGTTCAAAAGTAAATTTAATATATGAATGTTGTTTGGAATTTTATACTCATTTCTTGAACTTTACTAAATTTGAAACAGTTTGGTTTAGTGAAACGGATGAAACTGAAATTTTGTATTGGGGACCCTGGGGTTTTGGAAATGTGCACAACAAATACACGAAATGTACTAAACAGTACCGTATTTTTAAAATTGGGTGAACAGAAAGTGTAATGTAAAATTAGTAGTGTGTACTATAAATGTACGAAAAGTACTGAATGGTACTATACTTGGTACTGGGTGAAAGGATGTACTAGAATTCGATCTTTGTTAAGAGAAGGAGGTGGTTTTGGATATAACTGTACAAAAAGTAAGGAAATACATGTTGGATTGGTGGAATTCTGGAATGTAATATGGAGACCACTGCAAACATTTTGTTAAAAAAAAAAAAAAAAACAAGTCAAAAAGCTGTAAGTTCGGCCAGGCCGAACTTTACCCTCCACCATTTGGAACACATTTGGCAATTTTTTAAAAAAAAAATCCGTTGAAATTTCTGTTGACATTTTAAAAATACCGAATGTAGCCGTTATATTTGGGTCTACACGACGACGCGAATCTACATAGGCAACTTTTGTCATAAGTATTACAATATTCAAATTGCGAAACTTGAAAAATCGGTGAATAATATAGCTACAATCATCGAAATACCGAATATAGGGAGGTACCATGGGGTCTATACCAAAACGAGGACCTACACAGACACTTTTCTGTCATAGTAGTATCCATTACGAACTTCAAATGCCAAATTTGAAACAATTCCGATGTATAATGTCACTGAAATTATCAAAATACCGAATATTGGGAGGTACCGTTATATGGGGCTATACGAAGACGTAGACCTGTTTAGACATTTTTCTGTCATAGGCTGCATTACGGACTTCAAATACCAAATTTGAAACAATTCCGGTGAAAAATGTTGCAAAAATCATCAAAATACCGAATATCTAGGGCAACCGTTGTATGGGGGCAATACTAAAAACGTGGTACGATATAATTTTCAATACCAACCATCCTAGAAACAAAAGAAACTACTGAGCCAAATTTTAAAGCTCTGCGTCTAATAATGTTTGCAGACGGAAAAAATGTAAATTTAGTGTCCGATTCTGAACTTAGTACATCGTTCCTATGTTGAAAATTAAATGTATCGTGAAAATTTAATGTATCGATCCACTCCACAAAAGTTAAAATTTCTACAAGAAAACAGAAAAATCGAATTTTAAACAAGAACAAAAGCTGTAAGTTCGGCCAGGCCGAACTTTGAATACTTTCCACAATTTGGAACGAATTTGGCAATTTTCAAAAAAATTAAATCCGTTAAAAACAATGTTAAAATCTTAAAAATACCAAATTAGGGCCTAAACAAACTTTGAATACCCTCCACCCCTTGGAACGAATTTGGCAATTTTCAAAAAAATAAAATCCGTTAAAAACTATGTTAAAATCTTAAAAATGCCAAATAAGGGTCTAAACGATGACATGGACCTGTATAGGCAACTTTTGTCATAAGCCATTACAATATTCAAATGCGAAACTTAAAAAAAAAAACGTCGGTGAATAATGTAGCTAAAGTCTTCAATATACAGAGATACTATTATATGGGGGCTATACCAAAATGTGGACCTGCACAGACAATTTTCAGCATTAGGCTGCAGTATCCATTACGAACTTCAAATACCAAATTTAAAACCATTCCGGTGAATAATGTCACTAAAATCATCAAAATACCGAATATCAGGAGGTACCGTTATATGGGGGCTATTCGAAGACGTGGACCTACATCGCTCATTTTCTGTCTTGGGATGTAGTATCTATTACGAACTTCAAGTGCCAAATTTGAAACAATTCCAGTAAATAATGTCGCTAAAATCATCCAAATACCACATAGCGGGAGGTACCGTTATATGGGGGCTATACGAAGGCGTGGACCTACATGGTCCATTTGCAATACCAAAAGTCCTGCAGACATAATACACATTTGAGTAAAATTTTATCAACCTACTTCATTTCATTCGGAAGCTAGAGTGATTTCCACAGACGGATAGACATAGCTAAATCGACATAGAATTTTGTGCTGATCAAGAATATATATGCTTTGTGGGGTCTAAAATGTATATTTCGAGTTGTTACAGTTGTTAACAAACTTAATATAACTTTCATACTATGATGGAGGGTATAAAAATAGGAGTATCCGAAACATGGAACATCGAAACATCTTGAAAAAAATTAGGTTAGGTTCAAAATGGACTTCATTTGCCCTCTCCTTCGTGTACCTCTTCCACAAAGTGTCAACATTTTGAATAATTAAGCTGGTAATATGTGAAATCAAATTTAACACATCCCACACAGAAACACCCTTTACAATTGACATCTTTGATTGTTCCATTTGCAGCCTAAAATTGTGAATACCATTAAAATAACATAAATGAAGAATGAGTCATAGCCGGCTTTTTTATTATCTTTTAAAAAAGTCAATGAACGAATATAAACATTAAAACCCCTAGCAAGAGTATTCTCTCTCAGTGTCACTTACATAGCACAAGGCATATTGCCATTGTCACTTCTCTTCGAAGAAAATGTAAATTTTGTTAGTATTACAACAGAGAGTGTTCAAAGAGAATACAAATTTAAAATAACAATGGAGAAAACTGAACATCCAACATAATGTGGTATGGTATTGTTGGGCGAGTATTCAAACTATTGTGGAATACGCAATAGAAATGTGGGTGGCCCCCTTTTAAATTGTGACATCATGTACTAAAACAGTGGGGGAATTTCAATAAACCAAATTGAGCGGAAGTAAATGTCAAGGAAGTTTAAAAATAAATTAAAGTTTTAATTGAAAATTTTTGAAAGAAATGAAATGCTGCTACGGAAATTAATTTATTTTGGGTTAAATTAATTAACCGCAAATTTTCTTATTTTATTTTACTCCATTTATTCCCCTGAGCCCCTTTTGATTTTATATGCATTTAAAACTCTTATACGAATATTTTTGTTGGTTAAAAAAAAATATAAATGAAACAAATTCAAAAATTTAAAATACGTTATTATAATACTTTAATGCGTAAACAAACAAATAGATCGGTCTACCAACGCGTGAACATGCCAGGTACATCTGACCATGAGAAAAGCAGGAATATGCCAAATCTAGTCCGCATACACGTAAGGTTTGTCCTTCGGATTTATTAATTTCATAGGAAATGCCAAACGTGCAGGAAACTGTCAGTTTTGGAAATTGAATGGTATTTCTGTTGCAATTAGTGTATTCGAGGTAGCAACATACCTCCCCATTATAATCGTATCCTCAATTAAATTGTTGTGTATTTTTTTTACTGTTAGCGTTGTGGATCAATGCTTCTTTATAAAATCATATCCCAATCTGAACCAATTTCAATATAATTTGAAAAATTTACTTTTATACCAAATTCCGTCACTCCTTCCAATTTCATTAAAATTGGAGGTACATACCGTGTTTGGTGATCAACCAAATTTTAACCGATTTAAATATAATTTGACATATTTATTTTCTGATCAAATCCTGTCACACATTTCAAATTTCATTGGAATAGAAAATACATATCGTGTTTGGTGCATCATATAAACGAAATCGGTCGAATATATATATGGGAGCTCTATCCAAATATGTACCGATTCAAATATAATTTGGCTAGTTTACGGACATACGTATCGTGTTTGGTGCATCAGATATGTGAAATCGGAAATCAAATACATGAAACCGGCCGAAAATATATAATAGGAGGCTATATCTAAATCTAAACCGATTTTAATAAAATTTGGCAAAATTTATTTTTGTTCCAAATTCCGTTACACATTCCAAATTTGGGGACTGTATCTGTAATCGACCAATAGATATGTGCATATAAAATCTAATTTTTTTGAGGTACCTCCAATTCTGATGCCATATCTCCAGTTCCAAGTGGAATTTTAGAAATGTATATAGGGTAAGTGCGCCTAAGTTCGGCATGTCCCAGTAGTCGGCAGTTTTGAAATTTAAACTTAAATAACTAAGTTTAGGAATGACTAAATATTGAAATAATTGCAAAAAAACGTCAACAGTGGTCTCTGCTCTCTTTCTGTAAAAAAAAAACAATGAGCTCCGTTCATTTATTACGAGATAATAACGGTTTTCGTCAGTGAGTGTCTTCCAACGCGTGTGATAGTGCTTGTTTATAAAGAAAACAAGTAAAAAAAGCTGTAAGTTAATACCCTCCACCATTTGGTACAAATTTGGCAATTTCCAAAAAAAAAAAATAAATAAATAAATAAATAAAATCCGTTAAAAATTCTCT